ATTACATCGTTTAGTACAAAGCCAATGGACAGTCCAAAATATAAGTCAGGTTAGTTCATATGTTACAAAACCTGTGCTCAGAAAAAGTCTCTATGGAAGTTAGACATTTTCCTAAGTGAAAAGCCAAAAGGAATAAAATCAAATTAGAATCGAAAACTACTTTATAATTTCCGTTTCTAAGCATAAACCAGATCTACTTTTACCAAGGAAACACACTTAAATGAGATCTGACACAAAGGAGAGGGAAATATTATTGAAAGCACACCCTCAAAATGTAGGCGAAAAAGAATGTTTTTCTGTGATGTAAAGAGTCACTAGAAAACGCAACCCTATTCTGGAACAAAGCAATGGCACGTGTGTCTAATATTCCAACGATCTGGATTTCCCAGTGAACATTTTAAAACAAGTAGCAATTTCGCTTAGGGGAGCATCATCCATAGAACACAATAAGCACAGAGCGACAACCGAAAAGTAAAACTATGCACACAAAACCGCCTTGAGTGTGTATGTGTATGTATACAACAGGCCCTGGTACTGGCATCCCTGATCATCGCAGTAACAGGCTGGACATTGATACATTTCTTTTTGTTAAAAAAAACTGTACTTTCTGCTGTATGGCTTATTAAAAGATAGAACCTGTCCAGAGTAAATGATTTGAGAAAGAATGAGAGAGAAACTTTAATTTCTCACTTGGCATAAATCCTAGAGTCCAATGCCAGAAAACTGTGCCTGCATCTACTGATTCTTCTATTTCAAGCCACATACATTGAGTAAACCTAATGCACGAATAGTACCATCTTTACGTGACAACTCGGAACAAGGTGATGTCCACGTTCACTCTATGCCCCATTTGTAAGGTCTGAATCTAAATTCATGATTTTGGTTGAAGCAAGGAACTGCTAAGACATCATCACGTTGTTTCCCCCCCACCCCCCCGGCCCCCCACACCCATATGGGAAACAATTTACATTTCTACGTTGACTAACCAAAAACTGTAGTTCACACTGTGAGAATCAATAGGGTAAATGAAATGCTTTCCATCTCACAAGCCGGGTCCTTGAACACACAGGGGCTTATTTCCGTACATATTTAGAAGGGTTGGTGGTTATTATTAGGCTGTAATTGCAGTTGTTCTAATACCTAATAAGCCATGGCTGGAAAAACAAAGGCAGGTTAATTTGTGATTTCCTCCACTCATTCAGAGGCAAATTAAGTGTCAAACAGCTAATACAGAACATATTTCATTTTATGAGATTTTAATTTAATTCTGCACTGTATCGTTGATGCCTTAATATAGGGTGGTTTATCTAAAAAGAGGAGCAATTTATAAACTTCTTTCAATAGAATCTTTAATGATAGGATATGATCACATCATTATCGCAGTGCCTGCCTGCCTTCTAAACAGGGATCTGCCACCATTTCCATCAAAATCGCAGAGCCTTGTTTTTTAGAGACTTACTTCATTTTTCAAGTTGGCATCAGAGAAACAATCATGTGCACCAAATAATGAGAATTTCCCCCAATTTTGTCTTCTTAGAATTAAAAATGCTTATTCTAAGGCCTCCGTTTAAGCTCACTTGAGGTCATTTTCTACCCATGAAATTAAAGATGTTAATGAGCATACAGCAAGCATTTGGTTTCCCCAGTTCAGTCACAAAAACCAGAACTCACTAACTCACCACCACCAATAGATTCTGACTCCAGACCCCACAGGACAGGGACACCTGCTCTGTGGGTTTCTGACTGTCACTTGTTACAGAAGCAGAAAGTCCCACAGCTGGTGGTTTCAAACTGCTGAACTTGCCGCGAATAGCCCAACGTGTAACCACTACGCCAACAGGGTTCCTAAGCATTCCAGAAAGTACCCTCACCTTCCAAGAGGATGAAAGGCCTCAATTTAGCGAGACCTCGAAAAGGTAACGGAAGCAAGCCAGCGACTCATACTTGAGCCCGGCGAGAATTGGAAGCCGCCAGGACTTCTCGTGCCAACTCTCCGCATTTGGGTAGCGCCCTGTGCTGTTAAGGGAATTCACCAAAGAAACAAACACAGCCCTGTCATCAAGTTCATTCAGCCTCAGAGCAAACCCACGTGTTACAGTGTAGAAGCACCCAGGAAAGCCGTAAGGGTTTCTTGGCTGTAAATCTTTACCTAAATGGATAGCCCTTTCTCTGATGGGTAGGAACTACCCACATTTCTGTTAGTAGCTGAGAGCAAACCACTGCGTGTGCGCGCACACACACACACACACACACCCGCCAAGGGGCCTTACATTAACATTAGTTCATTTAACTCTCTGCCGTTTGGGAAGCTAGATAAGGCAGATACCTTTATTTCCAATGCACAGCTAGGGTATCGGGGCAGGGCTCACACTGGTGACAAGCAAAGCAAGAATGAGCATGCCAGCTCTCCAACTGTCCACCAAGTGCCCCTCAGAATGGACCAACGTGAGCCCGCACACGACACCTCTGACAAAGTCCATGCCAAGTCTGTTAGGTGCTGCCAGGAAGCAGAGGACACTGTCCCGGAGCAATACATGGTTGGGCAAAAAGGCAAATGCTACAATGAAGGTACGGGCCAAGATGTACAAGAACAGCTTCTGGGACAGCCAGCAAAGGTGCCATTTGGATTAGGCCCTGATAGGAACTGAAAGCAAGAGATTGCCCTGCCCAAAGGGAAGATTACTGAGGGCAATGCACAGAGGTATGTGCTGCCCCAGCTTTCCCAAACCAGTCAGGAGCTCTGTCTCTCCACCCAAATCTCCAGGGCACTGCGAGCATTCACATCAAGCCCGGTTCCAGGAGCTCAGGTGGAATCACCATTCTCTGATCCCACAGCAATCTTCTAGGGCTTCTCTTTTGAGGCTCTGTGTTACCTACCAGGAGTCCCTGGGGTGTGAAAATCGTCCATGTTTGACTGTTAAACAAAAGGTCGGATGATCAAGTACACCCAGAAAGACCTTAGAAGACAGAGCTGGTGACCCACTTCCAGAAATAAAAAGAAAAAAGCAAAGCAGTCAGCCCCTGGCACCCTATGGAGTGCAGTTCTACTCAATGCGGTTGCCGTGAGTCTGAGCCAACTAAAGAGCAAACAGTCTGCCATCTCGCTACATTCATGGACCTTCCACAACTGTATTTTTAAGATACTAGAGAACAATTCAGTCCGCAGATGCTAAAGTACACTGCAGTTTGGCTGAGAATGCAAAAAGTCCTGAGCTACACTGTCACAAGGTTCAGCTGTCACAGCCAAAAGGCAAACCTCCCTAAGTCCCTACCAAGACTCTCAGCACAGAACCACCTCCTCCAGCAGTATGACCGCTAGATGGGTTCTCGGGCTTGCCATTATTACATTCTGCCAAAGAACCGAGGCACAGTGTTCTCTTGATCTAAGTTCCTGCTTCTGTTCCTCCGCAGGCAAAGGTTAGTGAGCCCAGACAAGTGCTTCAGTCTGTAGCCTGCAAAGCCAAGTCAAGAGAAACTTTCTCTAACTTGATCTTGAAGGAAGGAAGAGAGGAACCCCAGGGTCCCAGGGAGATCTGCAGTAAGTCAATCAGTGCATCATACAGACGTGAGTCCGTGTCCAAGGAGACACTGGCCCTTGCATGCGCCGCCGGACCATGGGGCAGAGATCCACATCCAGGACGCATGTGGTCCCATCTGCACCACAAAACCTCTGCACAAGAGTCACATGTCATGTTTCAGCCTTAATTTGGCATTTCCTTCGCTTTGTATACGGAGTTTTAAATTGGCCTCTCGGTTTTATTTGTGAGTATTTTTAGCAAGCTTTAGAACCCAGAAAATACTTACTTGTGCGCCATTGAAATGCTGAAAAATAAGTCACAAGTTTTCTGTCTTCGGTCTCTATAAATACCCACTTTTCCTTTAATGCTTATAGAAGTCTGGAGCACAGATTTATTACTTACCTCCAGGCAAATGTACTCTGAAATTACAATTCAGTAATGGGAGATGGATCCAAAAAACTGTGGGTAAAATATTATATGTGTACTTGGGCATGTAGTTAGGATTGTTAATATCAATTAATTCTGTTCACAGAGGAGGACTTGTTTTAAAACAACTTCATTTTTCTTTGGCATATATGTAATTACACAGCTGTAACTAATAGCCACGGAGATGCAATCTACCATCTAAATAACCGGCATTATTCTTCAAAGTATCATTTGTGTTTTTCTAACTTTACTGTCTCGGCATCAAGGGGGATTACGAGATATGATTAAATGTATACAACAGGGCCTCTAGCAAAGGACACTTCCACCTAGGGAGTGGCTCTAGTTTTGGGGCGGGGGTTATGGCTTTTCTGAACAAAACTACAAAGAGGAAATTTGAGTTCCCAAATCAACTATTCTTGCCCCTACCCACCCCACCCCCCGACTGAGTGAGAGCACATACATTTCCACGGGAGTTCCTTTTCTAATGCATGCTCTCACCACAATGTCCCCTGATCTTTGTGTCAAAGCCATGTGACCGACCACATCTGCCATCTGGTTGGGGGGACAGTCCCATTAATCAAGTGACCATTGGTGTACGGACCATGGGGCATATGAAAATGTACCATAAAAATTTCATGACGGTTCTCTGTGATATGGGGGATGAGGTTTTCATGTATAAGAAAGTCTAGCATGAAAAACTTCAAATCTAACCTTGCCCAAATACACAGAGCCTGAGTGGTAGCTTTCCATTGGGTTTCTGCTTTTTAATTTAGTATTTACAGCCCACAGAACACGTCAGCAAAATAGATAGGAAATACTTGCCAGCCACCTAGTGTACAAGGCATCCCTTGGAAAGCAGCAAGGACCTGCTTCAGTGAATCCAGGAAACAGACAGACTTGCCGTATTTCAGAAGTAAATCTTACCGAACGACTTCTGTCACATCTTCAAAGCCCACTCGACATGCCATTTCGAGAAGAAACAAAGAAAAGCCTTCTGAGAGAGCCAAAATGGGCATTTCGCTCCATTTCGTTGATGGGGAAAGTTCTGATACTTACACATGCAACGGAGGAATAGGCGAAGGATCATAATGGTATCGCCCCTCGTGATGTCTTGCATCGATTGGCACAGGAGGGTGGAATGCAGGGAAGAGATGAGGAGGGTCTGAAAAAGAAACACATCCCAACCTATATCAAATGAAACTTTGAAACACCGCTGGTCCTGTGAAAAACAAACCAAAACACTGCGATTCATTCTCTGCTCCATGAAGCTCTGCAGAAGTATGGCTGAGTTAATACCTCCACCTGAGAACATGGGCCCCGCTTTGAAACCCAACGAAAACCCAGGCAGGAAAACTAGAAAGTGTTGCAGAAACTTCCTGGCCTGAAAGAAAGGCTGGATGAGGGGGGATGGGCAGACGAGGAGAGTCACAAAATCAGGAGGGACAATAATGACCGCACATTGATCTGAAGGTCGTGCCTTGGTGGTTCCATCAGTCAAGCATCGGTCGGCTGACCTCAAGGTCAGCAGTTCACACCCACCAGCCGCTGCTCTGTAAAAAATGAAGCAGACTGCTCCCCTAAAGATTTATAGTCTTGGAAACCCTCTGGAACAGTTCTGTGCTGTTCGAAAGGGTCACTATGAGTTTGAATCGGCTGGGTAGCTGTGGGTTTGGGGCCTTTGTTTGGGGGTTTGGTCTGTAGAATGAGAAAACTGTCAAGAGAATTTTAGACAACGATATTATAATACGGTTATCACCTTCATGTCCCTTTATAGGGCCAGTACCTTTCCAAAGTCCCATTTAGAAGAATTCAGGGCAGCTGTGTGTGGAAATGAAGGTGCACTCACGCAAACAAACCTTAGATGCATGTTCCCAGCCTTCTCAGCCTCCCCTGGATTAGCCCTCCCAAGTCCTAACAAAAGGGTAATACTGTCTATGTTGGTCAGAGAAACATGGGGCGTGGTAAAGAAGAGCGGATGAACTCATTCAGATACATGATACCAGCGATTTTCTCAGTTCAAGAAGTAACAAGAAGGTCTGAATCCAGCCCCTGACTGGACTCATGGGGACCCCAAGAACACTGAATGAAAGGCCCAGCACCATAATCAACAAGCTTGCACTGGCTGGTTTTCAGAAGTAGATCACCAGGCCATTCCTCCTCGTCCATCCCAGGCTGAAAGCTCAACTACAGCAGCTCTCAATCTGAGGACTGCGACCTCTTAGGGAGTCGAACGACCCTTTCACAGGGGTCACCTAAGACCACCAGAAAACACCTATTTCCAATGGTTTTAGGAACCGAGGTACCACTCCTCTGTCTCCAGGTGGATCCGCCACACGTAGATATGTCCACATATGAGTATCCCGTGTGAAGACTGTTACCCATGCTACACCATGCTTCAAGACAAAATTTCATTTATTTATCATTAGAAATAAACAGTCACAATCTATAATGACATATTGTTTTGTGATTCATTACTATGCTTTACTTATGTTCAATTTGTAACCATGAAAATATATCCTGCATATCAAATATTTACATGATGATTCCTAACAGCAAAATTACAGTGAAGAAGTATCAACGAAAATAATTTTATGGTTGGGGTCACCAAAACATGAGGAACTGTATGGGTCACGGCCATAAAAAGGTTGAGAACCACTGCCATATAACACCTGTGACAGCACACAAGCTGCCACTAATGCACATAACACAGTGTGGTGCTGGCAGGCCCACCATGGAATCCCCAGTTCCCCAGAGCACCAAGGTAGCAGGGTCTAAAGGCAATGCCCAATGAGGTACTGAAAACGTATGCTGGGCAACCACTACAAGAGGACACTGCACTGCTGCAAGGGACCTGGAGGCTGTGCCCTGGGCATCTCCAGGGCACTAAGTATAGCCACTAGCATATGAAGGGCACTCGGTATGCTGAGGCCACACTGCACCCCAATTGTGTATATCCTTAAGCTGAAGGCAGATGACTAATGGGTCTCGGTGCTAAGTTCAGAATGCTTTACTAATTTTCCCTGTGCATGTCTCTATTTTCCAAACTTCTTCCAGCAAGCACCTTTTAGAATGGAAATATCATATCCCCCCCCCTTTCTGTCTTTTTAAAAAGCTAAAACATCCTTCACTTACTGACATGGTTCAGCTCCAGAGTCCAGGTCATTATGCAGAAACAGTGCAGTCGGTGTAAGAGCTGGGAGCTCCGACCCATCTTAGGCACTGGTGCCCCTGGTCCCTTGACTCCCATCTGACACTGCTCACGGCTTGTTGGTTGCCGCAGACAAGGCTCAGGAGGGTGAGGAACTCCTTCCCTACCACTTGGCATTGCCCACTGCCCATCATCTCCTGCCACATCCCCTGGGCAGGGACCCTGCTTGTCCTCCATCCACGCTGGCCCTGACGTCTCGTGTGGCCTCCTTCCCTCTCTATACCTTCCCGCTCCTCCTTGGCCCTTGTGTCACCATCCCATCGCTGCCTGCACACACCCCTTGAGGCTGGACCCAGATGTGTTAGGTGAACAGGAGAAGGGGTCCCAAGGTCCACTGCCATCCCTTCTGTCACCCAGTTATCACTAAAGACTTTTATGTTATCATGTGGAGTTGCCTGCAGAGGGTACCCCACGTCTGGCCAGAACCATCACCCGCATGGGACCCAGACTTCAGAGGCACTGCCTGGGAATTTTCTCCTAGTTGTCAAAAATGTGAAATATGGGATAAGGATCTCATAGCTTATTGAAGAGTATTCTTATCTACTTGCTTATCTACAATCTTCTTATCCCATATAATACTTCACTTCCTTCGCTTTGAACTCTGCCCTTGCTGCCTACAGTATGCTTGTGAGAAAATAAAGAAAAGTCGTAACACTGCACTCGAAAGGCCAGATATGTGATACACCTGGGCAGGGTGCCCCAAGTCAAAATTCAAACAGCGAACTATCAGACCTCATCGCCCAACACCAAACTCACCGCCACTGACTCACCATGACTGTACAGGACAGGGCAGAACTGCCCGTGCTTCCAAGACTGCAACGCTTTACAGGAGTAGAAAGCCTCATCTTTCTCCTGCAGAATGGCTGGGGGCTCCATCTTTCTCCTGCAGAATGGCTGGGGGCTCCCAAATGCTTGCCTGTGGTTAGCAGCCCAACATGTAAGCCACTGAGCCACCAGGGCTCCTGCCCTCAGATCTAGGGCCCAGAAATTCTCTGTGACCATAAAAGAATTATAAAGTGCATTGCTCGCTGATTGTGCCTGTTTTAAGTAATAACCACATCCCTAAATATAACTCACCACTGGCATGGTCACACCATTATCCACGTGACAGCATGGCATGCACCAATGCCGAGAGCTCAGCAGGGGAGAGGTATATTCATGACCTAATCATTTCTCACACTTTATATATTTTATAAAGCCCACATGCAAGCATTCATTATATTTCAAGGGCCCCATTTAGGAATTAAGATTACAAGATGTCGGCATTGATGCTTCTGGAGGGTAAATCAGTTCTTGGGAGAAGGTTTGCTATACTTGAAAGTTTAGACTGAAAAAGGAATCCTGCAATGTGGCAAAGTCCACGTGCTGAACAGTCTGGTCACCGTGACAGTCACCTTCTAAGAGAGTCAAAATGTTCTATCGTAGTTAACCATTTTGGATTAACACATACACACGATCCTAAAATATCCAACTCTGCCTTGGTAAACCATGAAATCAAGTGCAGTCCTCTTTTCCACCAGCCTGAAGGGCTGACACGTACTCCGTGGCCATCTCCTGACTTTAAATTTGAAGCAAGCCTAAGTCGATCAGAATCATGGCGGGGATAAGGTGTGTGCCCTCAAATATGGGGGTGGTGTGTGTGTATGTGCACTTCCATCAGCTGTCACTGCATGGCCCTTTCTGGGAGCGTGGTCGACTCCTGCAGGCTCCTGACTTACTACGTGTGGCATCTGCTTTTGCTTTAGGAAACTGGAGAAATAAGCTTCCTATAACTGTTTGTAAATGACGTGTTCGGGAAGTCTGGCCACGTCGTACGGACTTCTCCCACACCCCTCTTTCTATGGCCGTTCTGAGGACTGCGGTGACAACTACGTTGAGGTGGAAGGCATGTTTACAACTCTCCTTCTCGGCTCTCAGCTGCGCTCTGCTTGATTAAACCCTCTTCACCAGATAAGTGGGTGTTAACTGTATCTGATTTTCTCTGTATGTGGGTGCAATGAATTACACCTAAGCCCAAATGCACAGCTTTCATACATAAAAATGTGTGGCTCAAAATGTGTGAATTTGGTCTACAGTTAACACATCGCGGAAATACCCCTCATCATCCTTCATTGGAATCTTCGTCGTGAAGTTGTAGTGATTAGAGGCACAGGAATAAAGACCAGGCTGTGAATCCTGTAAAATTAAAAGAGTATTCAGTGGGTAATGACTTATTTTACTGCGCTTCGTGTTTGCAGTGTTTCTCAGATGTTTAAAAAAAAAAATTGAAGGTTTGTGGCAACCCTGCCAGGGGCCAGTCTGCCGGGGCCATTTCTCCATGTGTGTGCTCACTTCCTGTCTGTCACACTGCGGTGTTTCTCACAATATTCCAAACATTTTCACGACGCTGTTGGACACTAACTAGCTTTCAGTGTCATGTAAACACAGCTTTTATATGCACTGAGAAACGCACGAAGGACATGCTTTATTGTGTGACTTGCTTTATAGAGGTGGAGGGGAAGGGAACCCCAGTTATTTCTGAGGTTTGCCTGTATCACCAAGTAGTTTAAATTCTCTTCCCCAAGAAGTCCTACCTCTTCTCATCTTACACAGAAACCTACTCTTGACATTTAAAAGACAGCATCCCTTTTTAGGAGCCCCGGTGGTGGCCGTGGTGAAAGATCTCCTCTGCGTAACATTGACATTGACGGTGTGACCACAGCAGAAGCTCCACTGGAGAATGTGGCAGTCTGCATCCCTAGACACCCTGGGGGGTAGCTCTACTCCGGCCTAGAAAAGCCACGACCTAGGGCAACCAATGTCAGGGCAAGGGGGTCGGTTTGTTTGATCATCCTTTTCATTTTCAAGAAGCAATTCTGCGGGGCCAGTCCCATTTTCTCTCTCTCCTACCCTCTTTGCAGAATGAAAGAGGTACGGATCAGGCTCTGCAAATAACTTGGGTAAGACACAATAAA